AAAAGTCATAATTTGGAGTCATAGATTTCATGCTGTTTTAAAAATGCTTCTTTACTTAATGATAATTAAATATCATTTCATTTTCTTCTAACGATACCTGTTTTTTCATGAACAGCTTTTTGAGGTATAATTGATATTCAAACACTGCACATACTTAAGGTGTACAGTCTGATAAGTTTTGACATACATATGCATCCAAGAAACCACTCTCACAAATCAACATAGTGAAGCCCCAGAATTTTCTTTCTGCCCCTTTGTAATCCTCCTGCTCCTCCCCTTCTCTACCATCCCACTTCCCACCCCCAAGCACTATTGATCTGATTTTTGTCACCATAGTTTGCATTTTCTAAAATGCTATATAAATGGGTATGTACTTTTTTTAATCTGAAAATTTTCATTCAGCATAATTATATTGAGATTCATCCATGTCTCTGAGTTTATCAACAGTTCACTCCTTTTTATTGCTAAGTAGTATTCCATTGTAAGGATATCCCACAATTTGTTTATCCATCCACCTGTTGTTGGACATTTGGGTTGTTTCCAGTTTGGGGCTATTACACATAAAGCTGCTGTGAACATTTATGTACAAGTCTTTATATGCTTTCTTTTCTCTTGGGTAAACGACTAGGAGTGGATTGGCTGGATTATATATTAAGTGTAGTAACATGATTTTCTAAATGGCTATATAGAGGTCCTTTATGTAGCTATTTATAATTTTTAAGTAATACTCTTTATTTTTGAACATTTAGACTTTTCTGATTTTTTATTATTGTTGCAAATGATCTATCATTTTTGGCTTAGGAATGTGGCTATAGATCTTCAATTTGGGGGAAAAAAACCCAAGCTAATGAGTAGAAAGGCATAGTAAAGGGAATCTGGAGATAACGTGTATGTTGTTAGATAATTTTGAGTTCTTCCATGATTGCAAAACAAGTATTTAGTGTTCTTTGCTGGGAAGGAAAGTGGCATAAATCTTTAAGTGAACCAAAATTTGAATTTGAAGTTGAAGTTTATTTTGCAACCAATGGAAGGTCTGCCGTTTTGTTGTCAAGTTTATGGAACCATGATTTCATCACAACATTACTTATGAGGCAACTGCAGTAAACTTAGGTGTGGCCTTTTGTTTCTGGGAGCTATAATTAGCCATCTGGTATACTTTTTAACATTTTTGTTAAATAAAAAAAATCTTAAAATGTAGCATTTTACTCACTTCCCTCTCTCTCCATACATACATACACACACATACATGATATATATGGTGACAAATGAGGAAGTGAAGCAAAATGTTTACAGAAAGGTAAAGAAATGCCTGAGGGGAACCACCGTCATCAAACTCCCCAAACCAAAAACACACACGCAGAGATGCCAAAGCTGTATTCCTCTGTGCTACATTTAGGGTCTTCTTATAACAAAACAAAAGTTGTTTTTACCAACAGATTTTTAAACAGCAGGGACATGCTTATTATTTACTGTTTTGGTATCTTTCCCTCATTTACATAAATACCCCAGAAACCAGCAGTTCAAAACTAATAAAAGCCAGGGCCCTCCATCAAGTGCAATAAAGTTTCATAACCATGAGTTAGACTGTTAGAGTGAAAAATAAACCTATATATGTGGTTATGAAAGGATTTCTTTGGAAAGTGTATAATCACATTTCAAAGTTAGAACTTCCATTGGAAGTTGCAGTGTAATAATAATACTTAAACATTTATGCAGAATGCTTCGTCTTTGAGACTTTCCCAACATTGGCCAATCAATCTCTGCTGCTTCCCTAAGGAGCAGGTAGGTATAAACTATCTGCCATTTTCTAGTTAGAAAATTGGGAAAGGGATGGCCAGCTCAGAGAGACGGAGGACTGGAGAGACAAGGTTCTGGTCCTTTTTATTCTGTGACTCTTTGGGATGTAACTCCTAATAGAATGCCTCAGTTTTCTGTTCCACATCAATGAACTCATCAACAAAACAAAGATGTGAATAGTAGCTCAATCTGCCTCAGGCTTTTAGACACAGTCCTTATATTCCAGAGGTACACCTTTTGGAAAGACTGGGATACAGAAAAGATACAGAAGACCCACAGTGCATTCATTTCATCAGCACTTTGAATGGATGGGACCAAACTTCTTCCAGTGAGAAAGGCAAAGTCAGATGCTTCCTTCTTCCCAGCAACCTCTGCCCTCACATTATCCTGGCAACTTAATTTCTATTTTTCCAAATAAGATTTACTATGATTAGTGCATTTAAAGAGTTGAACAAATTTGCTGTGCACATTAAAGCCAGAGGAACAGTATAATAAAACTAATGAACATTTACATTTTTGGAAATATAATTAATGTAAGCTTGTGAAATTCTGAAAGATAAACATTTAAATGTTAAAATACTTACTACCTTCCCCACAGGGACAGTGTTGGAAATTAATGAGATAACAAATGTAAAGTGCTTTAAGCTCTTTAGAAGAAAGGTGCCAGATAAATACAAATGGTTGTTAATTGTTAAAGCTATCAGATGGTTACTAATATATTACTTAGGACAAAATGCATATTTTCATACTTGAAAATAGGATGCTTGCAATCCTATTTAAGATGATATAGCTAAAGTAATGCTCCTCAAACTCCTCCCAGGTTACTTTTACATCTTGTTGCAAGTCCTTTCTTAACCTTCCCCCAGTTCCTTGACTTAGTATCCATCTTTTGAGTAAAACTATAAGGCATGATTTCCCAGCTTTCAAACTCTCCTGTACCTTCCCATCATCAGTCTTCCACCAAAGTCTTAAAGATCCAACACCATAAGAGTTTCCACAGACACCATTTCTTCTGATTTCTCCAGTCATATAGTTGTGATGCTTCACAGTGCTGTGAGTTGTCCACATTTATGTTATTAGCAGTAAACATGTAAATTAAACTTCTTTTAAGCAACACACTAGAATGTGTTATTAAAGACTGTAAGTCCTTTGCACGATCTGGGACAAGGGAAATTGAACTTTCTACGTTATACAAAAAGGTAGGATTTGTGGTAAAAGAGTTTAAATCCCATTTTTTTTTTTAATTTAGCCTGAAACATGGAGTGAGATACCCTCACTACATCTCAGTTCCCTCATGTAAAACAAGGGCAGGAGTAGTATTTTCCTAACGGGGTTGTTGGAAAGATGCAACAAAAGAACGTATATAAAGCTTCGAGTACAGTACCCACCTAGCCAGTAATGTGTTCAATAAAAGGTAAATGTAAGTAAATAGTGGAAGGTAGGGAAGTAGGCAGCACAATTTGTCATTAAATATCATCAATCTGGTTTCTTTAAAATCAGTATAAAATAGGTAGTATGTGAAGGGAGATACTTACCATCCAATAGTGAGCTCCTAAATGACTAGTAAAATTTGCTTCTCAACCCATCCCAAACATTCCATATTAAACAGTGGATCCTTTCTCATGCAAAGATAGCTCTACTGTCAAATGTATGCTTCTCCCAAAATCTGGGAAAATGGCACATCATTTAAAAAAAATCCTCTTATCGACAAAGATTTCAGTTTCCTATTTAGAATGGTGAAAGTTCATTAATTTGTCTTGATTAATTTATGTTTTGGATACATCGTACACATACACTTTTTTTTTTCAAACTTTCCTTAGTTTACTGATAGCACAGTATCTTTGCTATACATATATGCTAAAAGATAATGGACTGTCTTCTTTTCAAATGTTCTGTAATTAAAACATTTCACTAATTTAATCTGGTCCTCTGGCTTCTTTCCCTTAATTACTTGAAGTGATTGTTTTATTATACCAATTTTTCTCCTCTGGTTTTTGAAGCCGTAGCTTTTTAGGTAGAGGACCTGACTCCCAGTCAACTTTCTGGTGAGAACTAAATCTGAATGTATGGCCTGAATTTGGAAACAGGCATTCTGTGGTATATGTTAATGACAGAGGCGAAAGAGAATGCATTGTTTGAGAAACCGATCATGTGGGTAAAAAACCAAAAAACAAACAAACAAAAAAGGTACCAGAGAGTGAACTCATTTTACTACTGCCAGCAGCTTGAGGCTCAAGAGTGCTAATCAAAATTCACATATAAAACTTCCCTGATTGATTTAGCAGTTTTGTGCTGTTGAGAAAGGGAATCTCACCATGTGAAAGATCCACTGCTGTGCTGAACAAAACAGAGACAGTTTTCTTTTAAAGTCCTGAGCAGATGAGAGCCATAAGGAGACAGAGGGTTTCATTTACTCTCAGGACACAATTGTGCCAGTGAACTAATGAGTCTCTTGGACCTTATGTTGCTCTGGCTTCAATCGAGGCGAGACTCTAATGGGCATGTAGTACTTCCTATCCGTCAAGTGTCTGGACAGTGGGCCCCTCATATGGATTAGAGCGATCTGGCAAGAAAAAGAGGTCATCGTTGTACCTAGCCCAGGCAGGAAACCTGGCTAGCTAATGTATTTCCAACTATAGCAAAATAAGAGCTCACACACACACACACACACACGTTAATTTTATTGCAGAAACTCAACCTATGGCTGAGGCATAGTTAACACATTATTGGAATTCCATAGGTAATAAACGCCCCTCTTTTCCTCAACACATTCAGATATTTTTAAAGATATAAAAGGCCATTCTTTAAAACAGCTCTGTGATTTTGGTGTTGTGACTTGCATATTTCACCCTTCAGTAAAGCTGGATGATGTAGAAATATTTTGAACAATTATAATTACAAGCAAATGCTCAGAGTTAGTATCAACACTGCATAATTTTAACAATTTACCCTTTAAAAGGTACTGTTGAATTGAGCTTGTAAAAACACTACTGCTGTATTAAATGGAGAACTAGAGAATACAAATGTTTATTCAAGCTAGAGCTGAGTTACTCTGTCCCAAACTAAGAGCAGATACTGCCACCTAGATACATTCTTGTGCTTTAGTTAACTAGATGTTGGCTTATCTTACTTTTTGAAAAATGGTAACAACAAACAGTAGTGGCTTGGTACAATAAAAATACAATAATTGATAAAGGGTCACTCTTAAAAATCCATATAAATGTAGTTTTCTTGGAAAAAAAGACATTGTGTTTTGCCAAATAGCGATGATTAAGCCTTTATTCAATTTTTTAAATGCAGAAGACAAATTACTATTGGAAATAGGAGGGAAACAACTTTATAAAACATTAAAAAAAAAAGCTCCGTAATCCTGAAATTTACAAAGCAGTAGAGGCAGAAGTGATAATAGTAACCCTTGTAACTTTTTTGACAAATTATTTCTTCCTGAGTTTGAGAAGAGGAAGAGATTGTTTAATACTTTCAAATGAAAACGCAAATAGGTTTTGGTCTAATAAGTAAAATAACATCACTTAATAAAATTTTTTCTAAAAAGAATTACATTATAATCTGTTCTAATACACCTCCTAGCAAACAAAGCAAACTGACTTCCCCCACCTTTTATTCCTAATAGCAAAATAAATGTTGCCTTTTTTTGGCTCCAGGTTGGAATGAAAAATCAGTAATGTATTCCAGGATCATTCATTTGTCAGGTTTAGAGAGATTTTTTTTTTTTTATCATCTTTGGACTCTAGCTTTTCTTCAAATCTAATTTTGTTTTCCTCTGTTACTCCTAGAATGTCTTCAATGTCATCAATGGTGGTCTGTAAATGAACAGTAAAAATAATCCTTGTTACTTAAAAACTTATTACAAGTCTTCCACCCAGCCCCTCAAGCATTTGCTCCTTTTTGGAGTTAAGTATGGTGTAGAACAGTTCTACTCAAAGTGTGTTCCACTAACCAGCACCCCTCTAAAATTGTTGGTTATCAGTCTTAATGAAATAAGCAAAAAGATTGAGAGTAAGAATTTGGAAGCCTTTATAGAAATTTTTATGTCTATTAAATCTAATAATAAAAAATATGCTCCTATTTCATGTGTCTTCAGTTTTTTCATTTCATTTTTCTAGGAATTCATTTTGTTGTATTTTACAAAAGTATTGATCCACTCACTATAGGTCGGAAAAAAACAAAACAAACAGGTCCTTCACTACGTATAATTTGAGGTCCACTGGTCTAGTCAGCCTGGAATGAAGGCTAGTAGGCTGATGGGAGTATTTATTTCCACTGGTTTTGGGGAGAAAAAATGGCACCTTTCCATTTTATTTTATTTAGTTATTTTTTATTGAGGTAGAATTCCTATACCATAAAATACACCCCTATAAAATGAATAATTCAGTGGTTTTAGTATATTCATAAGCAACCACCACTAGTATGTTATTCCAAGACATTTTCATCACCCCAAGTATAAACTTTATACCCATTAGCTGCCATTCCCCATTTTCTCCCTCTCCTGGCTCCTGGCAACCTCTAATCTCTTTTCTATCTCATTAATGATTTGCCTACCTGGATATTTCATGTAAATGCAGTCATACAATATGTGGCCTCTTGTGTCTTAGCATAATGTTTTCAAGGTTCATCCATGTTGTAACGTGGATCAGAACTTAATTTCCTCTTTATGGCTAAATAATATTTCATTATATTATACCTATTTTCACTTTGGTTGGTTGCACTTTAGGTATTATGCCTAAGAAGCCATCGCTAGCCACAAGGTGATGAAGATTTATACCTGTGTTTTCTTCTAAGAGTTTAACAGCTTTAGCTCTTACACTTGTGTCTTTGATCCATTTTTACTTAATTTTTGTATGTGCTATAGAATAGAGAGGTATAACTTCATTCATTTATATGTGGATATCCACTTGTCCCAGCATCATTTGTCAAAAAGACTGTTCTTTTCCCATTAAATAGTTTTGACACCCTTGTTGAAAACCAGTTGCCTGTAAATGAAGGAGTGTCTTTTGGACTCTCAGTTCTATTCCATTGATCTATATGTCTGTTCTTATGATAGTATCACACAGTCTTGATTACTGTAGCTTTGTAGTAAGTTTTAATATTGAGAAGCCCTCTAACTTGGTTCTTCTTTTTCAAGGTTATTTTGACTATTCTGAGTCTCTTGCATTTCCACATGAATTTTAGGATTGCCTTGTCAGTTTCTGCAATAAAGCCAGCTGGGATTTTGATAGAACTTGCATTGACTCTGTGGATCAATTTGGAGAGTACTGCCTTTTTAACAATGTTAAGTCTTCCATTCCATGAACACAGAATATCTTTCCATTTACTTAGGTCTCCTTTCTTTTATGATGTTTTACAGTTTTCAGTGGATAGGTCTTATACTTTTTCTGTTAAACTTATTTCTAAATATTTTTTTCTTTTTGATTTTTAAAAAATTGATTTAAAATTAGTTTTTGATTATTCAAAAATTGATTTAAAATTACTTTTTGATTATTCATTGCTATTGTATAGAGATATAATTGATCTGGTATATTGATCTTGAGTCTTGCAACCTTGCTGAATTTATTTAAAAACTCTTAATAGATTGTTTCTTGGTTCCTTAGGATTTTCTACGTATAAGATCATGCCTGCTGTGAGCAGAGATAATTTTGCTTCCTTCTTTCCAATCTGGATGCCTTTTATTTCTTTTTCTTGCCCAACTGCCCTGGCTGGAACCTCCACTACAATGATGAATAGAAGCGGTGAGAGCAGATATCCTTGTCTTGCTCCTGATCTTGGAGGGAAAGCTTTCAGTCTTGCACCATTAACTATAACATTAGCTGTGGGGTTTTCCTAGGTGCCCTTATCAGGTTAAGGCAGTTACTTTTTATTCCTAGTTTGTTTGAGTGTTTTTATCAAGAAATGGTGTTAGATTTTGTTAAACGCTTTTTCTGCATCACCTACCATTTTTATTCAGCCTTTACTTTGCTAGTAAATCCTTGTTTACAAGCTGAAAATCCTTATTAGACTGTCATTAGGGTTGTAGATAGAAAATGCTACCAAATACCAAATACTACCAAAAACAAATCTTTTCTACTTTTCAAGTTTAAAACAATTATTCCAATTTTGTTGAGATTTAAACTTACCTTTAGACTTTCTAGCAAGTGTAAAAAAAAATCAAGATAACAATGATTCACATGAGAAGGCTAGAAACCATGAGATATTTAAAAGCTACTTAAGAGCATATGACTTTTGATGATTTTGACTTGATTTTGCCCTTCAGACAAAGGGCAGAGAAAGAGCCTTTATTTTGTCAACAGTAGTTGGCTCTGCCAACCTCAAGTCCATGCTCGGAGTCTACTAACTCTGTGTGGTTTTGGGGATAAATCATCTGTCTTAGTCTGCCCAGGCTGCTAGAACAAAATACCATAGACAGGGTGGCTTAACAACAATTTATTTTGCACATTTCTGGAGGCTGGGAAGTCCAAGGTCAAGGTGTTAGCTGATTCAGTTCCTGGGAATAGCTCTCTTCCTAGTTTGCAGACAGCAGTCTTTTTGCTGTATCTTCAGATGGTGTGGAAAGAGAGAAAGAGAGAGACAGGGAGGGAGAGAGAGATTAACAGTGAGAGAGAGAGAGAGAGAGTGCACAAGCACAAGCTCTCTGGTCTCTTACAAGGGCACTCATCCCACCATGAGGAGCCCACCATTCTGACCTCATTTAAATGTAGTTACTTCCCAAAGTCCCCATCTTCATAAATCGTCACATCAAGGATGAAGAGTTTAACACATGGATTTTGGGAGGACACACTTCAGTCCACACCACCATCTGATTGTGACTATTAGCTAGTATTTGGACAGACTAAACTGATCGCGTGCACACAGGCTCAGAATTTTGCACATCACAGTAACAGATGAAATGATGCTAGCAGGCAGGAACTTAGAATATAAGTGATGAGCATAGATCCTTTAGGACCAGTGAAAGTTGATGCAACACATAAAACCACATTGAAGAACAAAGCATTATTATCATTATTACTGTTACTAGAGGGACCAGGCATAGTTCAAGGAGAAAAATGTATTCAAAAAGTTTATTTTATCAAGCTTTTTGTCGGGTTTTCCACTGAAGAGAAAAATCACATGTGATTTCTGATTGAATCCCTTGAGTTATGCGACCCATTCAAACATGATGAAGGCTTAGACTGGGAACCAGGTGCACACTCTGGTGATCAATACCAAGTGTTTGTCTCTGTTCAGCTGGTACTTTAAAAACCTTCCGACAGATCTTGCTCCTGTTTTCTAGAGTTTGCAGACTTGTAGTCAATTACACATGACTAGGTTTCCTGAACCAACATCTTTAAAGGACGTTTGGGAGCTTCAAAAGGTTAGTGATGGAACACCTGTCCCACTTTGGCGAAATGGGGAGGAGCAGGTGGCTCACATATACGCTGAGGTTTTCTTCTGCTTCTCCCTACACACACTGTCCTTCCTGGGGTCTCGGAACTTCTCTGACTTTAGAAACGTGGGCTTCCCAGGAATCCTTAGCCAGACGCTGTATTTTCTGAAATATAGGTAGATTATATTCAGGATTTTTGGTTGTGATAGTCTCTGTTTCGGCTCCATTGTGATGGTACAGCTTCGCCTTCAACACCGGAAAAGCCCTGTTGTCTTGTAAGCTTAGATTTGGAAATGGAAGCGAGTTAAAACAAGTCTACTATATTTCAAAGAAAAAGTTTCAAACTATTAAATTTAACTAACGGGTTCAGTGGGAACCTTAAAATATTGACCCTGCACATTGTAAAATATGTACTGCTTACAATGAAAAAAAAATGGTTTAGCACTTGTTTACAATACAGCATGAGGTATTTTCAGCCCTTGTATAGAAATTAACCAGGATCGTTAGTTAATTAACACCTCACCTTAAAATTGGTCTCGCCTTGCATATTAGGTGCTGATATTTCTTGATGGATGATGAAGAGATTGCGAGCAAAGGTCATGAGGACCCCCTGGAGATCTTCACCGATTGTTCTGTTAATGATATCCAAACAAATGAGTTTACCAACGATTCCCCTCACAAGCTTAAAAACAATCACCCTCTCATTTGTGCCTGTCTGGTGATGGAATTTAATGAGTATTTTCAATCTCACAAGGTGGCAATCTTCAGGGAAATATGAAAGATGAGGCTCCATTTTAACTTGTCAACAAAAAGGATTTGTGTAATAAATATTTTTTATTAATCAACTTAGCAGAATGTAGGAATAGGTTCAGTCATTCCTAGCAAAAGGCTACCACTGAGCCAGGACACTAGTATTAGCTCATGTTAAAAATTAAGTTAGTTTAGGAGAATTGTTGCTGCGTGTAATTCGTGCCTAACAATTCATCTGCCTACAGAGGCATTTGCACCTCAGTATTCTGGGAACTTTCATCTAGGGTTTATTTTCTATCATGCAGACAAGTGATTTCTGCTTCTTATGTGCCCCATCTATGTGCAGAAGAGAATGTGCCCCATTTGTGGACAGCTGTCTTTGTGACGCTGAACACGCACGTAAGGATTTCAGAGACAGCTTGCCAACGATCCTGCAGAATTAAACTGCGGTCAGTGAACGTTCCCAGACAACTAGATCATTCTAAGTTTTAACTTGGAAACAAAGCGCTAGGGTATTTCTCTAGCTATTTTTTCAGATTTTATCAAAGGGAAAAAAGAGATTAAGTGAGTGGATTAATTTTTTTAGATTTTTCTGCCCTGAGGGGGTAAACCTAAAGAGCTAGCTGCTCCTTAAGGCAGCTGCAGAGAACTTTGGGATTACTTCTTTCCCAGTTGTTACCTATAAAATAAGTCACCTTAGAGTCTAAGGCTTGGACCCGTTTGGAATGGCTGCCTTCCAGCCTGACTGGGTGTTCCCTTGGTTCGGGGTGGGAGGAGGCAGCGTCCCAGGCCCAAAGACAGGAGACAGCATTCTGTGTCCTGCCACTGACTGTGTGACTTTGGGGAAGTTACTTAAGCTCTCTGGCTCGTCATTTCTTTTTCTCTGAAATGAAGGAGTTGGACTAGATAAGTGCTTCCAAACTTTTTGAGTTATAGTCGCAAAATCCAAGGACCCCCATCCCTACCCCTTATAGCTACTGAACATTAGTATCTCTTCCTTTAATAGAAAAAGTAATAGCCAAAGTCACCTTTAGACTCATTCATTTTTAACAGTGATTTGTATTTTGTTGCCACAGGATCAGTATGTATTAGACCCTGGGTGCTTCTGAAAAAATTCCTGGGCCCCATCCGGATCAATAAAATCAGAATTTCTGGGTTTGGGATTCTAGAATGTGTTGTTTCACCAAGCCCCCCCAAGGTGATTCTTACATATAGTAAAGATTGAGACACATGCTTTGAAAAAAATTGTGTGTGCATGTGTGTGTGTGTGTGTGTGCGCGTGTGTGTGTGTGTGTGATGCTGGGTCCACACATGTATTCAAGCCCCTCTCGCCACCCCTCCTCAGCCTCCTCAGGTCCATGGTTCCCAGGTTGGGAACCAAAAAAACTGGATGGACTCTTAAGTCCCCTTCCCTATTAGTAATTCATTTGTAGACTTTCCTTCATTTTCCCTTCCTTGAAATTTCTCCTCAAATTTCACTATTTCCGGAAATATCCCAATATAATGGAGTCAGTATGAAGTTATCCCAGCAAAGCCAGGCCACACAATTCTGGTCTGTAAGGTCATCCCTTCCTGGAGCCCTCACCCGACGTGGCCTGATTGCAATAAAGCCAAACGAAGCCCAGCCATCTCATGAAGAGCCTCTCCTTAATCCCCCAGAGAAAATCAAGCAACACAAGAAAAGTTTATATTTGCTCACCTTTTCTCTTTAATATGCTGTAGATGTTAAAAGGATAAGTCAGGATAAGTTAGGATAACTTAAATGTACCAAATAACTACATTCCAACATATGAATAAAATGCAATTCAAGGTTGTGGCTCCAAAGTTCTGAGTCCTAGATGGGGAGACAACTTTGCCAGCCCTCCAGAACACCCTGGAGAGACGTTTGCAGGAAGGAAGCACAGAGAAGCCTCCTGAGTGGTGCAACAGGACTCTTCCCAACGTAAATGTGTCTAGAGGAGCCTGTGTCAGGGCTGGAACGGGATGTGAGGAGGGGCTCCAGACCCGGCCTTTTTGGGGAGCATCTTGCCAAGTCACCAGAGCATTTTTCTAAGCAAGCCAGAATGACAGCTGCCTGCAGTCAGGGCATCTGAGCTGGTTCCTCACCAGTCAGACTTGCTGTGCCTTGTAGGTGTTTGTTTTTAAGTGTAATATGTTGTTCAAACTAGCCCCTTACCCATCAATTTTGGAGAATTAATCAGCTTACTTATGAACCCCCACTGCCACACCTAAAGTCAATTTATGAAATACTTGAAGATCTGAACAAAACAAGATAGACTTCCAATAAATCAGCATGCTGATTAAAATGCATGAGAAGCGGCATTCCTGTTGGTTGTCACGGTCTGTTTTCTTAGCTTATTACATCTCATAGACACACTTCATACTCACAGCATTCCCAACTTGTCTCTCTTCAGGTGTTCATAAAATATAAAGACAGTTCCTTGTCTGTCCTATAAAATTTGAACGGGAAGAAAAGAAATAGCATGTTATATTGGAAAGAAAGGAAAGAAAACACACTAAGACCACTTGGACTGATCTGAATTGAAATCTAGAGCTCTGCAAATACTGTGAGAGGCGTATTTGGGAAGGCTGTCTCCAGAATGTGGAGGAGACATGTCCTAGGACAGTGTTTTTTTTTAATTGAGATGATAATAGATTATAATTTACATATAACATTGTGTAAGTTTCCCATGTACAGCATGTTGATTTGATGTATTTGTTTATTGCAATATGATTGACCACTGTAGCTTTAGCCAAAATCTCTATCTCATCATATAATTATTATCTCTTTTTTGTGGTGAGAACATTTAAAATCTAGTCTCATAGTGGGTTTGAAGTATGTAGTACAACGATGCTGAGTATAATCACTTGCTGTGCATTAGATCCCTGTACCCTTTAACCAACGTCTTCCCAATTCCCACCCTCACCCCCACCCTGGGTAACTCCCATTCTACACTCTGTTTCTATGAGTTTGACTTTTTTAGGCTCCACATATAAGTTACATTGTACAATGTTTGTTTTTGTCTGGCTTATCTCCCCCAGCATAATGCATTCAGATTCTATCCATGTTGTTAGAAACGGCAGGATTTCCTTCTTTCTCATGGGTGAATGATATTCCATTCTATGTATATACACCACATCTTTGTATTGAGATATAGTTGATGTACTATGTTACATAAGTTATAGGTGTACAATGTAGTGATTCATAATTTTTAAAGGTTATACTCCATTTATAGTTACCATAAAATTTGACTGATTCCCTGTACTATATACTATATCCTTGTTGTTTATTGATTTTATACATGATAGGTTGTACCTCTTAATCCCCTATACCTATCTTGCCCCTCCCCTTTCCCTCTCCCCACTGGTAACCACTAGTTTGCTCTCTCTGAGTCTGTTTCTTTTTTGTTATATTCACTAGTTTGTTTTATTTTTTAGATTCCACATGTAAGTGATAACAAACAGTATTTGTCTTTCTCTGTCTGACTTATTTCACTAAGCATAATACCCTCCAAGTCCATCCATGTTGTTGCAAATGGCAAATTTTCATTCTTTTTAATGGCTGAGTAGTATTCCATTATATACATATGCAGTATATCTTCTTTATTCATTCATCTGTTGATGGACACTTAGGTTGTTTCCCTAACTTGGCTGTTACAAATAATGCAACTATGAACATTGGAGTGCATGTATCTTTTTGAATTAGTGTTTTTTTTTTTTCAGATATATACCCAGGAGTAGAATTGCTGGATCACATAGTAGTTCTATTTTTAGCTTTTGAGGACCCTCCATACTATTTTCCATAGTGGTTGTACCAATTTACATTCCCACCAGTAGTGTTCAAGGGTTCCCTTTTCTCCACAACCTCACCGACATTTGTTATTTGTGGTTCTTTTGATAGGTGAGAGGTATATCTCATTGTGATTTTGATTGGCATTTCTCTGATGATTAACGATGTTGACCATCTTTTCATGTGCCTATTGGCCATCTGGATGTGTTCTTTAGAAAAATACCTTCTGCCCATTTTTTGAGGTTGGGTTGTATGAGCTGTTTATCATATTTTGGATGTTAACCCATTATTGGTGATATCATTGGCAAATATTTTCTCCCAATCAGTAGGTTGTCTTTTTGTTTTGTCCATGGTTTCCTTTGCTGTGCTAAAGCTTTTAAGTTAATTAGGTTCGTTCGTTCGTTCGTTCTTTCTTCTTTCTTTCTTTTTTTGCTATTGTTTCCTTTGGGAATCTGCCTTTTAGCTCACTTCCTGGGTGATCCTCATGCATATCAAAATTTGAAAACCACTGTTCTAAGAGGAATGGGTAAAAAAAAATAAGGAAAATAAAGAAGCAGTTTATTGTGTGGAAGATAATTTGTACTTCAAAGGAAAACTGTATATTGTCTATAGGACACCCTATTGCCTTGATTCTGGGGAAGATATTTTTAAACTCTGTTAAGTTGTAGGTGACTGAGAGATGAGCAAATTCTGTGCAGTCTGATAGAGGTTCAGTTGATTTTCCTCTCTTGCTCTCCTTATGGAAAAACCAGTTTTGCCTCTGTTTGCATATTCATTTCAATGTTCATGATCTATAGATGTCTATTTTTGGATTCTTTTTATATTGGTTATAACATTTGCCTAATTCTCTCTTGAATAAAATCTTTATCACGTGTTTAGTTTTGTATTTGTATGAGAGGTGTGATTTTATCCTTTTTTGAAAATTATTTAACACTAGAGTTGTCTGGTAGGGGAAATGGCTGTCCTGTGAAGCTGTGACCTCCTCATCACTGGAAGTACCAAAAAGAAAATTACATTTTGGGGATTTGGTAGAAGATACCACATGCCAGGATTATGACTGCTCATTGGCTCCCCATTTTATCAAGAAGCCTGGGCATTGGAACAGACATTGGACTCAGTTGCCTCAACCTAATCACAGCCCCTCCTGACCATCTGTACTTTGTAAAGGCCCTCACTCAGGCTGTTCTAATGGGCAGCCAGGGTTGAGGACTATTGACTAGTTGATCTATAAGGTATCTTGCATCCTTTATACTATGCTGTCCAGTATGGTAGCCACTGGCCACATGGGGCTACTGGGAACTTGAAATATTAGTCATTGAAGTTGAGATGCACTGTAGCTTTCAAAGACTTAATACAAAAACATAAAATACCTCATCAATAATTATTACACTTATTTCAAGTTGAAATGATAATATTTGTTTTCTGTTTGGGAAACATCCTTTTCTTGATACTATTTTCTGAATCAATCATGTAGGCTAGGTTATGCTGCAGTAATTAAAAAACAATTCTTCGTTTTTATAGCAAAAAAAGTTGGTTCATGCTCGTACTTCATTTCACTGTGGTCACACTCAGGGCTGAAGGAGGCTCCGTCTCTGCTTCCAGGATTTCTGAAGCAGGAAAAAGGATATGGTGACTCATGGAGTGGCTCTTAAAGGCTTCTGCATAGAAAGGACATACAGCACTTCTGTTTATATTTCACTGGCCAAAACAAGTTACGTGGCCATGCTGACTTCAGGGAGAGGGCAGAGGAAGTACAATTCTGCTGTGCGCCTGGAAGGAGGAGAATCTGAACATTCTGAATAGCCCTCATGATTGCCACCACGGCAATTCCTTGGCCTGAGGAAGTGAGAACTGGCAGTGGTGGAGCTATTTAGGACCGTGGCACATTGCCTGTGTACGTGTGAGACCAGCCCTGCCACACTGTCGCAGGCAGTAAACATGACACTTTTCTCCATATGGCTTTCATTACAAGTTCATTTCATTAGGAAATCAGTGGGGGTACTTTGTAGCATTACAGAAATACCAGGAATGAGACCCACCGAGTTGGTTACAAACTCAGCAATGCTTCCTTCCAATATTCAGCAAGGAAAAATAAACTCATAGGGTGATCTCATTTCCCTTTTACACCCCTGAGATTTTCAACAAGAAACATCATGTGAAATTCTGTGCTGATAATGGCAAGAAAAACAATGTTGAGAATAAGGGCTTTTGAGGATTCTTTTTTTGGTGGCAATGACAATAAGATATTGTTAATATTGCTGCTTTTTCTGGAAAGAGCACCTACATTAAATTCGACCAAGAGTGGGAGCAGGTGGCAGAAGTTACATTGGAATTAGGGTAAGTGATCTTCTTTTTAAACTCAGCATAACTCAAGAAGGCAGTAAAATTTTGGGCGGTTAATTGTTAAACACATTTTTTTTTCTTTTTAAGGCGTAATAGGTCATGGGGGTTACAGAGAAGTTCATGCTTCTTCAGCTGAAGAATATGTAAGAAGTACCTAGATGGAATATTTCTTTTGAAATGGATCCCAGAATTCTTGGATTGGATTGGCAGTAAGATTTTAGAAACACATATAGTCAGTCTGAAACAGTCCTTAGGGGAAGAAGGTGCATAGGAGATGTCCTAGTGTAAGAGAAAGAGTCAATCATGTTTGACTTATGGACAGTTATGGTGTCAGGCTTTCCATAAAATGTCTGGCTGTGTGATCTTGGGAAAGTGCTTAAACTCTTTAAGTCTAAATTCCTCACCATGATGTGGAAGAGATAATAACTTTTTACAGAAGAGATATGAAGATTAAAGAGATAATAAAGTAATAGTGCGTAGCTCAGTGCCAGCACATAGTAGGTGCTCTGTAAATGCTGGTTCATTGCCTGCCTCTCCAAGAAAAGGCAGAGGAGAGAACAAGTGGAGAGTTCTGACCAGGGATGGACTCCAGGGTCTAAAAAGGTGAGAACCCATCTCTGGAAAAATAGAGTAAGGGCATTGTTAGAGAATTTCCAGATTTTCCAAGTAGTCACATGACTCCTTCTTCTTACCTCAGATTTTTGTGACTCCATTTCTCTTTTCTTGTACTATTGTTTATTATTTGTTCTTTTTGTTTCTATTTATCCCCTCCTATCTTTTTTTTGTAGATTGTTCCATTCTCTGGATTTTGTCCTATTTTCTGTTGTTATCTTTTTCTCCTTCACATTGTTCCATCACTCCATCACCCCCAATCTATATTTCTCTTTCTCTCCCATTTCAACTTTCATCTTTTATTTGTTGTTTAGCACAGGTGACCTGGAGGCAGAGTCTACAGAATTTACAGTATGTGTTCGGCGCCTCTCCGCCCTTTCTTTGTTCTTCTGACCCTCAGAACCCCTTCCTCTGCACCATCCACTGTTTCCCTAGGGCCACAGCGGTCTGTTTTCCTTACTAAAATTTGTTCTTAGGAATGAGTCTGATCAACTCTGAGCCACAAAGTTGTAAATAACCTACAAAGTTTGGTGCTTTCCTTTTCCCAGGAGTGCTAGAACTTCAATCACGTACAAAGCCTTTAGTCAAAGAAACAAATCCCTGATAATAATTTTGGGCAATAGAAAGTTACGGCGTACGTTTTCTTTTCAGTAGGACACATCCCCTGCCAAATATGCCCACTCACAGAGCTTGTCCTGCTTTGATATTTTAGAAGAAAATAAAATAAATTGATTCAGGTAAATCTAGAGTTAGATTTAGCCACCTTCGGGCACATGGAAGTCTAATCAATTTGGGGCTAAAAACCACAGTTGACCATTGAACAACATGGGTTTGAACTGCGTGGGTCCACTTATATGCGAATTTTTTCCAACAGTAAATAGTGCACTGCTACACATCTGTGGTTGGTTGAATCCTTGGATGCTAACCTGCTAATAAGAGGGCCAACTATGAAGTTATACTTGGATTTTTGATTGGAGGGTTGCAGTCTCTAACCTTGTCATTGTTCAAGGGTCAGCTGTATTTAATTTCAAAGAGACTGTGTTGAGCAGATGCAACAATGAATTTCAGATAAATCAGTTCAATCTGGCCTTTTCAGTCCTTCTATATTTTATCAATTTTAATGTAATTTGTGAGGGAATATGAGCTTCATCGTATATGTTTGCAAACAGCATGAATTAGTGTAATCGAAAGGCTTTATGCACCCTGACAGCACCCTGCAGTGCAGTGGGGATTGCCAAGTGTCAGCCAGGCCATCCTATTCAGTGTTGGCCGTGTGCCTAAGGTTCGTATGCTTTTCAAGAGCCTATAACAAGATCTAAACCCTGAAAATTGAATTTGTTCTCAAGTATGAAAAATAAAAATGAATATAGAACTAAGTACAAAACAAAATATTTGATCAGTTGGTTATTGCCCAATTATTTGTCATTATCTGTGAATTACACTTAATGTGACAGGTGAATATATTTTATTATTTTTAAAAATTTGAAGTACCATCAGTACAATGTGCCAATTTCTGGTGTACAGTACAATGTCCCAGTCATGCATGTACATACATATATTCATTTTCATATTTTTTTTCATTAAAGATTATTACAAGATATTGAACATAGTTCCCTGTGCTATACAGCAGAAACTTTTTAAAATCTATTTTTATATATAGTGGCTAACATTTGCAAATCTCAAACTACTAAATTTATCCCTTCCCACTCCCTTTCCCTGGTAACCATAAGATTGTTAACTATGTCTGTAAGTCTGTTTCTGTTTTGTAGATGAGTTCATTAGTGTCCTCTTTTCTTCTTTTTTTTTAGATTCCACATATGAATAATATCATATGGTATTTTTCTTTCTCTTTCTGGCTTACTTCATTTAGAATAATGATTTCTAGGTCCATCCACGTTGCTGCAAGTGGCATTGTTTTATTCTTTTTTATGGCTGAGTAGTATTCCATTGTATAAATATACCACTACTTCTTTATCCAGTCATCTGTCAATGGACGTTTAGGTTGCTTCCATGTCTTGACTATTGTATACAGTGCTGCTATGAACATTGGGGTGCTGATTTTTTTTGAATTAGGGTTCTCTCCAGATATATACCCAGAAGTGGGATTGCTGAATCATATGGTAAGTCAATTTTCAGTTTTTTGAGGAACCTCCATACTGTTTTCCATAATGGCTGCACCAAACTACATTCTCACCAGCAGTGTAGGGGGGTTTCCTTTTCTTCACACCCTCTCCAGCATTTATTGTTCATGGACTTTTGAATGATGGGCATTCTGACTGGTGTGAGGTGATACCTCATTGCAGTTTTGATTTGCATTTCTCTGATAATTAATGATACGGAGCATTTTTCATGTGACATTGGCCATTTGTATGTCTTCATTAGAGAATTGCTTCTTTAGGTCTTCTGCCCATTTTTTGGTTGGTTGGTTGTTTCTTTGTTATTAAGTTGTATGAGCTGTTTATATATTCTGGAAATTAAGCCTTTGTTAGTCGCATCATTTGCAAATACTTTCTCCCATCCCGTAGGTTGTTGTTTTGTTTTGCTTATGGTTTCCTTTGCTGTGCAAATGATTATAAGTTTAATTAGGTCTCATTTGTTTATTTTTGCTCTTATTTCTATTCCCTGGGTAGACTGCCCTAGGAGAACATTACTAAGATTAATGTCAGAATGTGTTGCCTGTGGTTAATATATTTTAATATATTTGATGTGATGCTGGAGGGGTCTTCCACAAGTAAGAGTGCATGGGTTCACTCAAGTCTTAGAATAGCCCTCAATGTCAGAGGCTTGATGATCTGAATCGAAGGGCAAAACCCTGAAACTAATTCTCAGAGTAATATGAGTCTTTTGGCATGAAATAGAGGTACTAATTTAGGTAGTACCCATCCCACTCGCCTCCGTCTAGCTCCATTAAGGATGAGAAAGCTGGGCAGGGCTTCTTATTCAGTATCACTGGAAATAGACCAAAACGGAAGAAACTTTTTTTTTTTATCAGAACTCCTCCTAGAAAGAAATGTAGGTAGGAGAATGCCATGGACCGAATTTCATGTCCCCTGAAAATTCATACGTTGAAGCCCTAATCTCCCATATGAATGCATAGGAAACAGGGACTTGGTTAAGGAAATGGTTAAGGTTAAATGAGGTGATAAGGGTGGAGCCCTGTTCAGATAGAACTGGTGTCTTTCTAGAAGAGGTTAGAGACAGAGCTTGCTCTCTCTCTCTCTGCCATATTAAGACCCAAGTGATTCTGCAAGTCAGGAAGAGTCCTCATCAGGAACTGAATTGACCAGCAACTTCACCTTGGATTACCCAGCCCCCAGAACTGTGAGAAATAAATTTCAGTCGTTTAAACCATCTACTGTATGGCGTTTTGTTACAGCGGCCCAAGCAGACTAAGAGAATGTTCCTTAGTGAGCAGCTTTGGGTGGGGTCAGAAAGCTCAGGACATGCTTCAAGATGAAGAGATGGTCCCCTGAATTACTCCTAATTCTGGTGAGCTACAGGGCTTTTGCTTTCCTAAGGTGGGTGTACAAGTTCGGGGACAGAGCTCAACCTCCCAGGACCGAGTTCTTCTACCTCTTGTGCAGTGGCCTTTCTGCCCTTCCCCAGGCAGCACTCATCAGACTTCCTCTAAATATGGGTCCAGCCAGTCTTTAAAGCACATCTGTGTGAATGGGCACCAGATCATTAGCTGCCTAGATGACCCGCAGGCCTGCGTTTGCTCCAGCTCTGGCCAGCTGTGACCCTCCATACCTCGATGTTGTAGCCGATGCCATGGGCCTTACACATCTGGAGAAAAACATAGTGGAAAACCAGCGAGAGATTGCTGTGCTTCAGCTGGGTGGTCATCACTGCATAGCGACTGGTTGCCAGCGACTGGAAAAGATCACAGCTGAATGTCAGAATCTTTACAAAATATTTAAATAAACTTTAAATTTTAGAATTGTGGATTAACGGAAAAGTTGCAAAGATAATACAGAGAGTTCCTATATACCCAGTTCCCCTACTGTTAACATCTCACACAGATGTGGCACATTTGTCACAGCTCAGGAGCCACATCGCACATTACAATTAAGTCCATACTTTGTTTGAATTTCATCAGTTTTTCTCTAATTCACATTTTCTGTTCCAAGATCCCCTCCAGGACACCACATAGTATTTAGTTGTCATGTCTCCTTAGGTTCTTCTAGGCCGTGATAGTTTCTCAGTCTCACCTTGTTTCTGATGATCTTGACAGCTTTGACAGGTACTGATCAAGTGTTTTGTAGACTGCTTGTCAGTTTGGGTTTGTCTGACGTGTTTCTCGTGATTAGATGGGGGTTGTGGTTTGGGAGAGGGGGGCTGCGCAGGTAAACTGCCACTTTAATCACTTTGTATCAAGGGTACATGTGTCAACATGACTCATCACTGATGATGCCAGCCTTGGTCACCTGGCTAAGGGAGGTTTGCCAGGTTTTTTTGCTCTAAAGATCCTCTCCCCTTTTCCATACTGTACTCTTTGGCGGTGAATCACCGCACGTACTCCACCTCCCTGAGGGAACTGATGTTAGAATTTTGATTCCAGCCACTTTCTTTCTTTGGGAAGTAGCAATTCTTTGTCTTCGTCACCTATCAGTGGGAGCTATCCCAAAGAGACTGGTTACAGTAGGCCCAAAGCATCTCAATTATAATGTCTCCTAAAATATTTAAAATTTAATATGTGCAAAAGGAAGTGTTGGATCCTGGTAGTTTTGTAGAATGTCTTCTGTGAGATGTTCGCCTTTGACAATTAGCTACATTTATCCTTGGATAAATGGAAGTTTGGAGAACTGTACATAAAGTCATGGCCAACCTTAGGGCATAGAAAATGGAGATGCCTGGCCCAGATTTTGAACTTTGGGAACCCTTAAGTGCTGGGAAACCAGGTGCCTGATCTCATGCAGTGACTTGAAATAGGAGAAAGGAAAGGAGCTGCTGTTGGCTCACAGCTGGCTGCAAGGATCCTGACAACCTGGCATTACCTTTTGTGAAACCCCAGGCTCTCTCTCTGTCTCTGAATTAAGGCAGGGGAGCTGGGGATGGCTGAGTGAGTGCCCAGTGGCGAATGAACATCCTTTCCCCACCTGCATCTCACACACACACACACACAGTCAGATTTCATGTTCACCTTTTCTGACATGTCCTCCACATATTGTGTCTTTTCCTTCAACGTTTACAGGAAGTACTGTATCTGATGGTCATGTTATCTATCAGTACTATTAATTAAGCCCATTCTTCCCGCACATAAGCAGGGTCCACATTGACAAAATGGTTAGGCTCCCACAGGGTAGTGGGTCAAGTTGTGCACTTCCATTGGCCTTGTCCCACTTGTAACCACTGGGAATTTTATTTTTACAAAAGAAAATCTGTTTGAGCCTCTATGCCTCGCCTCTACCTTGCTGTCACCCTGACCGATCATGAATTGTTCCCCTGGCTGCCTCCCTTACAGGACTGGGAGTTCTCTGAGGGCAGGCATGGTTTGGTTTCTGAGTCCCCAGGCTGGGCTTGATGCTAGCATTCAGTGTTTACTGACTGCAAGAAAGAATGGATACATGAAACAGAGTAAGTGGACTGCACTTCTCTCTGACTTAAGAGACTCTTCAAAGGATGTAATTCAGGAGACTTGCAGTCACTGAGTGCTTTGAGGTAGAAGCAGACATTGATTCACAAAGCTCAGAGGACAGTCACACCATCCCTAGAGAGTGACAGCTCAGGACATCCCAGGCCTTGCTGCTAGAAGACATCTTTTGGAGGACAGTGTAGTTCCAGTGGATCTGGCAGGGATTACTGGTGGGGAACAAGAATTGGCTACGAGAGGTTCTGGCTCGGGTATTTAGTCCTTCTGGAGGAGCGTGACCACCAGGCCTGCTGGCCCCACCATGCCAGGCTGTGCCATGCTCCCGCCTTCACAATGGAGGCCCAGAAGCCTGGGCTTTTGTGTATGGAAGTGAACTGTAAATACTCTGAAATTCCATTGTGGTTACTGAGCATGTAATTGTATGGTAATTACCATGAATTCACAAGATAATTCCAAGGTTATTTTTGTCTTCTAAACTTGTCTTATGCTGCCATAGTATATAAGCCAGCAAACCTTAGATCAGGCCCCAGTCAGCAAGGGAGAGAGGCAGGCAGGCATCTCTTAGCAGGTCCAGCTCAGTGCTGTGTCTCTTGGCTCCAAAGCAAGGCAGAAGAGCTCACTGCCCAGGATTACTGGACAGCAAGTAAGGACGGGCTGTCCTGAGGTTTCTTCCTCTCCACAGAGACAGACTGAAGTTCCCCCTCCTCTCAGACCTGGGCTTGTGATTCATAAAGAATCTGAAAGAAAAGCTAGGGTATTTGGTATAAGTCTCCAAGCAGTGTCTTCTTTTCCAGGACCATCACTGTCTCAGTCAGGACCATTATGGCCTAGAAAGCCGCTTCTCCCCTCTACCAGGGAGGTGGCGGTGTGAGCATCAGTCTGTAGTGGAGGGTTCTGTAGAGTCAGAATGGCTGAAGCTCAAAGCCGGAAGGGCCACGTACTGTGTGTGTGATCTTGAATATGCCACTCACCTTCCCTGACCACTGCTGATCAAGTGAGCACCTAGCACAGCACCTGGCACCCGGTGCGCGGTGTCTGCTACTGCTGCTGCTGAGTCTTTGGACACATCTGCGAAGCCTGGAGCATTTGGACCTACACTAAATGTTACCTTCCAGGCTGTTCCTTCCGCATTGGTACCTGGGACTCTGAGCATCACCACCAGATTGAGTGTTTCCCAAACTCAGGTTGGTCAATGCTCAGAACCCTTGGATCTCTTCCTTGCCTTCAAGGTGAAACGCAGGCACCTGGCTTAGCTGGCAGACTCCCCAAAGCTTGCTCAGTGGGCTGCTCCAAGCACTTCTCCTACTTCCCTTCCCAGATTCTCTGCCTCAGCCCAGCTGGTTCATCACCACCTCCTAAAGGACTGTGGGCTCTCTTCGGCCTCTGTCCTTCCTGCTGGGCGAGGTCTGCCTTTCCCTACCACTTGTGACTGCCTTAGTCCTTAAGGCCAGGCCAAGTATTATGTTCTCAATAAAGCATCCTCTGTCCCTGCCAGTCCACAGCAGTTTCTCCTAAAAGCTCCAGCAGCAGATTAAGGGGCTGTCACTCAAATGGCACTTAATTGAGACTTTGTGGTTTCTCCTGGTGTATGTGCTATTTTATACTTTCAACTCCTCAAGGAAAGGGACTTTATCAAATATCTTTGTATCCCTGATGCTTGCCGAACTTCTTGGCTTGTACTAAATGTTTAATGAATGTGTTATAATAATGCTAATAAGGACGAACATACACGATACGTCTGCTTTTTTAAAAAGAAGACGACTAACTCTGCAGTTTCTATGGGAAAAAAACTGTCGACGACCTAGGGTTGTCTTTTATCCAGCCTCGCAGCACAGCGGATGTATTGTCTTGAGGACTGGGTGAGTTCATAAAGACCTTGGAACAGTGTCTGGCACAGAGTAACGCTCAAAAACAAGCTAGCTTCTGTTAAGCATTTGTTAAACTACATAATTTCACAAATAAAATAAATTATTTGAAAACAAAAACCGATCAACTGACCAATAAATCTTTTCACCAGAAAGAGACTTGAATCAGAAGACCTGGGCTTTGCTACTTACTTAACTTTATGGCCTTGGGCAGCTCACCCAACTTTGAGTAGCCTTACTTTCCTAACCTGTAAAATGGGCATGATAACCCCTGTCGTAGCTATTTCTTGGAGCTGTCACGGGGATCAAATAAGTGCATGTCTATTTAAAGCACAAAGTAATCATACAAATAGGAAACATCATTTTTAAAAGGCCGACTTGTGTAATCGACTTTCTTCTGATGCTGTAAAGCCCATTTAGGTTTGCCAAGGAAATCATAACTGAAATGGATTTTATAGCATCAGAAGACTCCTCCGTGGCCATCTGGTCCATTCAGTGCTCACCGAGTTCCGGCCCGGCTCAGAGCAGATTAGGAGCCAGTGGATGATGGCAGCGTGCCTGCAAATAATCTTATCACACGGAGATGATGCTGCCTCCGGAAGAAGAGCATTCTCCATGGCCTTAACCAGAGGCTTCTCCAGGGGTGTGCTGAAGCTCTGCTCTGGGGCTGGATCACTGATTCTCAGCCAACACGAGGCGAGTTAGATAGCACAATGGTCAGACACACAGGCTTCAAAGTCTGGCAGGCCTGGGCTCAAATCCTGGCTTACACACTTGCTTGTTGAGTGACCTTCTACAAGCTGCTTAGCATTTTTTAACCTCAGTCTTCTTAACTGAAAACAAGTGCAATAACAGCACCTGCCTAATATGTTGGGGCATATACAGAACCATGCATGTAAAGAACTTCGATGAAGTACCTGGTTGGAGTAGAGGCTCGATACATTTTGGATGTCGTCGTGTTATTATATGCGTTACAGTTATCTGCTGGCCTATCTGTGTCCTTTGGAAACCTCGGAGCTCCTTGCCACTCATCCTTATATCCTCTGCGCTTAGTAGAGTACCTGACAAAGCAGGTAAACTTACTTCTAGTTGATTCTGGCTGAAACTATTAAGGGATAATTAAGGTGATGGCTGATGAGGACTTAGGACGTGACCCGCCACAACAGTGTTACTCCTTTGTAAAAGATTCTGCAAGAACAAGACCTTTCCATGAAAGGCTGTGGTACCGAGGGACAGGCCCTTCCTGTGTCCCCTTGCGGGACATATTCCCCACCCCCAGCAGCCCACTGGTCCCAAGGCTGCTTGGGCCAGGCTTGAGACAGAGGCTTATTCTACAGGCCCCGTAAAATCAAACCCCTCAAGAGGCCCTGGGGGTCATTAAGGCCTCCCCTATTTTACAAGTGAGGAAACTGAGGCCAGAGAGAGAATTCATGGCCCCTGGCTTCCAAAGCAGTGTTTTTTTTTTTTTGTTTGTTTGTTTTTGTTTTTTCAAATTCTCTCCAGATTCCCACTGGCCACATTTGGAATGTGTGGGACTTTCAGAGATTAGCCTTTTCTAGTAAAACAAGGGGGAAAAAAAGAAAGCAAAATATTATTGGTAGAAGTCTAGTTTTATTAAACTACCTTTCTAAATCACAATCTAACAAGAATGCTTCAAGCCAAATAAAGGAAGCTTGAAATACTCCTTTTCACTGGAGAATATAATTTTGCTTCAGCCACAATTTAAATTGATTTAGTTCTGAGCACCAGCACTTGAAGTGTGGAGCAAATTCTATTTTCGCCATGATACTTGTTTTGACAGTGATGCATTTCAGTTGACATAGCTGAAATCCTTATGTAATAAATCTCTGCCTGAAAATTAATCATGTTTATAATATTCTGAGAATTAATAACACCCATTGCTCAAATCATTAACTTAAAAAAGGAGCTTCCAAAATCTGTTGCCGGCAGTAAGGGACCACAAATAAATGAATGTTTGATAAAATAATCCAAGTAGCAGTTTAACAAGCGTAAACTTGAATGTGGTTGCAATAACACAGAACTATTGTTTAAGGGTTGGCAGAGGCTGATGGGGTTCTTATTTCAGTTACGAAGCAGGCATCCACATGCATAATGAACTGCTCTCTGAATTATTAATGTGTTGCTTATTTAGCCTCATCTGTCTAGAAGATAATGTATCCTAACTCTAATGAGTGATTGGTTTTGTACGTAATTACAGTAGCAGCAGTAGCGGGGAAATGTGTGCCTTCAAAGAAGGAGTTCTAAAAATAAAGTCATCACATAAACTCCGTTGTTGTTGCATTCTATCAAAATCAAACCCAAAGCATTTGAGAATTCATAATAAATTACAGGAGACAGAATCATTATTAACATCATAATTTAACACAAAAGGTTTTACTTAATCATTCATTACTGATCAAGTGCTGTTAAAATGCTTATAAATGACTTGGGTTGTTTGAAGATGTTTGCAGAGATGGTCCCTCTTGGCCACTCACCAGCTGTGGTGCAGAGGGTCCACCAGGAGAGAGGACAAGTAAAAACAGGTAGAAAAGGGTAACAATTTATGCCCATTCTGACAGAATGTTAATTAAAAGTTTAAAAGCCATTAGGTGACTCCTTATTTCTAACACATGCACGTCTGGGACTCATCCGATCTTGTTTCCACCTTCAAGTGGTTATTGGTGGAGAACACTGGATCAGAAGCCCATGCACCTGGTCTAACAGGTCTAGATGACAGTTGTTTGCCACCTGTTTCTGATAAGGGGACAACAACTTTTCTTAAGAGTTCAGAAAAGTTTTTGCTTTTCCCCTGCACAGCGTATAATTTAAATGAATAGGCCCAAACTGGAAACCTTATATAGGCGTTTGTTCCGAAGGCGCCCTCATTATCACTGTGGTTTTATCTGTGCGTTTCCTTTTTCTTGTCTTCAAAGGGGGCTGTCAATTGACTGACTGTAAACCTGACGGCATCACAGTCTATTCACACTTGTTCAGGAAGCTTCAGTTTGGTTGTAAATTGTACCATGTGTGCGTGTGTGCGTGCTTCTTTTCAAACTCGCCCATCACACGTGCACATATGCATAGGAGTTCGTGCACACACACACACACACACACAGTGGCACCAGGGTGAGAATGTCCACTTTTCTTTCTAAAACCCAAAGCACTTTCAGTTTATCACTACATCAGAAAACCTGCATAGCTTTTCTTCAGTGATTGCAGAGACGTTTGAATTACTGGAGATCATAATGCTTCCTCTTGTGTGCGGGCAATTCCTATAAGTGTTTCAGACTCTTGGTCACAGGAAAATCCCTGTATGTAGCCTGTAGCTAAGATTGAAGCCTATAGGCAAGATGGGAAAAATGGGAGAGTGTATCTAACTCAAAGAACAACTTCTGCTTACAGCCTTCTGAAACAATGTGCTTAAATGCAGCAAATTGCCTTTGAAAGTCTTGTGTTGAATACAAACTCAGCTTCCAGCTTCCTTTTGGAAATGGATGGAGTTATTTAGATTTGCTAAGCCGGAAGGTGTTGAGTTTTACTGCCTTCCCTCCCTCTGGCACTGAATTTAGGGTCCTGTATGTCCCTTTGGCGAGGACAGAGGCCACAGGTGAGATTGAACCTGGGAGATTTCTAGCAAGGTCCTGGGGCCTAATTAAAAGAGATCTATGTCTCCTCCCCAGTTTAGCTCAGCTTCTCTCCTCAATAAGCAAAGAGATCTAAGGGATTCCCACGAGGAAGAGTACTTCACAGGACAAGGGGATTGGGAAGGAGGAGGGGGCTGCCACATGAACCCTCAAGCCATCTGGCACCCTCTCCAGGTTGCTCTTCGAAGTGTACACTGAGTTCCTGCCAAGGAAAGTGACGTGTGGGGACCCTGGGCAGAGTCAAACAGGGTTCTTCAAATCCAGAAGCATCTCTTGGACCTGAAGATGCTCAACAGAGAGGCAGGAGTTACTGCTCTGAAAACATGTCTCTAGGGTGCTGGTATGGGGGTGCTTTTAACCACCGGCATTCCTTCTTTTATCTGCTTGACATACTTGGATCTCAAGTAGTGCTTCATTTGCAAAAAGGGCATGAAGCCCCCTGCTATGGGAGAAGCAGAAGAAACCCTCTGGCACTGTCAGAGCAGCTGTGGCCTGAGCCCCAATCCACTCTCATATCCCACCTACGGGAAGGGCCATCTGGTCCTCTTGACCTCTGCCCTCCTTCCCCAGGAGCAACCTAGCTCACCGTCCCCATGGAGATTTACCCTTTGTTACCCAGGGTCCTGGGGTTGGTAAACCTCAACCAGCCCCAGGACTGCTGCCTCCAGCCACCCTAGAGATGGGCTAGTGATGAGATGGGGAACTGGGGCCATGGGAAGAGGTGGATCAGGGGCACCTCATTAACCAAGCTGGGAGTTAGGATTTTCCTGAAGATGACAGGAGTCATTTCAAAGTCATAAGCAGAGGAGCAACATACTCAGATTCTTTGCCTTGACCACCTTGACAGGAGGCAGGGGATCTTAGTGAGAAACTATTATCATCCTACAGTGAGACCATGAAGGCCAAAGCGAAGGCAGTATCTTTGTGGAAAGGAGAGGAGGGGTCAGAGTTGAGGCATGTTAGCAGCTGGCATCAACATGAGCTGGTTGCTGCCGGGACGTGGGGATGTAGGGTGTCTCAGCCTCTGGCCTGATCCACCAAGAGGAAGTACGGGGAGGAGAGAGGGCAGATGCAGTTTTGGATAGTCTGACCCTGAGGACTCTGAGAAGTTCTGCTGAATATTGGATCTAGGACTCTAAAGCTCAAAAAAGAGATGGGGGTAGAAAAACACGGGTTTTGTCGTAAGCTGCCGGTAACTGAAGTGCTGGGTGTAGAAGTACTTGCCCAGGGAAGCAGGCTGAGAAGAGGATGGAGGGCAGCACCCTAGCACCCACCCCTGGAAAACCCCGGGCTTCCCCTTTCTGGATGCCCTGTCCCCTCTCCGGTGACCCATAGCATGCATATCCCAGAAGCCCATCTTGGGCAGCTGAGTGACTAGCCTGAGGTTCCTTTCTGCTTTCTGGACCCACAGTCAGAGCTCAGTACGTGGCGGCTGCGTGTTGCTGACGCTGAGGGGACTGAGGGAGCACCAGCTGCTTACCGGCATTGCCTGGGCGTTCAGGTGGCTCACTCTCCTCTCTCTCTTGGGAACAAAGCAGGGCACCTGCAGGGTGCTCAAGCTGCAATCCAGGTGGCCGTTGGTCAGGTACAAGGCGAGCTGCGTCAGGGCCAGCTGGTCACTGTATGAGAGGTTGAGGCCCGTTGCCCACACCTGAGTAACACAGGAGCCGTAGACATGAGGGTGAGATGAGCTGCTGGGAGAGAAAGCCCCTCCCGCCCCGCCCAGCCCAGACCACCCCGGGCCCAGCCACACTGGCGAACACGCGACTTAACAGAATAGATGTTTTTGCTTCTGTTTCTCCTTCGTGTAACTGAAGGATGGAGCCTCATCAGAAGACTGAATGTCCTCATGGGAAGTTACACAATGGGACAAACGTGGCCAAGATAATCTGCTGGAGAAGCCCAGTTCTGAAAGGTTCACGTGGACTTTGATTTTTCTGCCTGCGGTTTGCATTTCTACAGTGGTTAATGCAGTATGTTCCACTGAGAAATGAGGCTAGATAAAACCTCAGAGGATGGAGAGTCAAAGTGGAACACAGGAGAGGGGAAAGAGTGAGTAAATACGAGAAAAGGGCAGTTTTCCCTGGTTACAGAAAAAGCAATGCTGGCCTCTCTGGGAATTTCTGGGAATTCTTCTCTGGGAATATGATTCTTAAGGGACATTTAGGGTTGGCCTATGAGCCTTAGCTCTACCACTATGTTTATGTTTTACTTTAAGAGTCCAGGAAAGTCACTTTACCCACCCTATGATGTCACAGATACTCACCGGGGGAAAGCTGATGGCACCCACCCTAGCGGAATCACAGCCTTATTAGAAGAATACTATGATGCAGTGAAAATTAAAACGCTTTGGAAAATAGGTGTATGTAAGCAGTAAGTGACTAGATCACTGAGTAATGTCCGTTTCCTCCTCGGACGGATACTTACTGAGTACCCGCTATGGGCTAAACTGCCGATGGTGAAAGCCGGTCACATTCAACCTCTCCCTTCTCCTGTGGCAGGCCACCCTTAATTCCTCTTGTCACCCTCACCTCTGCACTGAATCCAGAAGCACTCCCAGAATCCTCCTCAGTTCAGTGCTCAAGGCGTATTATTGTACTAGTTACACAAGTGTAAAACGTGAAGAGACACAGATCCTGCCATCAAGGAAGGGAAGGTGGATGAATCATATTCGATTAATTATGACATGATGAAAACTTGATACAATAAAGGGAGGGAACGAAGTAGTACAAAGCAGAAGGAATGGATAGTCTGAGTTTGTCTAGTGAAGTCAGGGCTACATCGTGGAGAGGGGAACATCTGAGCTTTGAGGAGCAATGCAAACATGACTGGTTCCCATGTAGCAAGTACCTACAGTGTGCCAGGAGCTTCACATAATCTCACATCTGTGTACTAACCTAAAAATAACAGCTGTGTGTCACTGATAAAGACACAGAGGTTCAAAGAGGTACCCAAGTCCACACAGCTAGGAAGTGGTGGTGCTGGGATTTGAATCCAGTTCTGCCTGGCTCCAAATCCACCCTCTGCCCTTTCCCTGAAGGAGGAGACAGCACTGATCCTGGACCAGCCAATCCTCACCCTGGACAAGTTTCCCAGTCAAACTAAAAGCTAAAGTTGCAGAGGATCAGAACATGTTTTTGTTGAATATAATCCATGCCACGGAAATGTCTTGTGGAGAAAACATGAAGTATTGTGTTTCTGGAGTATGCTGTAATTAGCAGTAATGCATTTTCACTGTAGGAAGTTGGAAACGAACACATTTTCGTGAAGATTTGATTAAACAGTTTCTCCTCTTAGAAGGCCTACGTGTGCCCCACACACTAGCTGGGTCTGTTAAAATACAAAATACATCTGCCCTAGAGTGGACTCCTCTCAAACAAATCTAGCAGTGAGCGACTTGAGTAAGCATTGACTGTAAATGGCGTCATTATAAGGATATTAAGAGGTCAGGCTGTCAGGGCCCCTTGCTAAACTGAAGCTAATTTCAGGAGTCATATTCGCACAGTAATGTCCTTTTGTAATAGCAAATAAATCACATTTGCAACAGTTGTTAAAAACTAACTGCCAAGTATCTGTTGCAGTTGTAAATATCCTATTTGTCAACTTAAATATTTCCTACTGTATGGCATAAAATGCAGATCAGATGGGGACAGCCACTTCTCCTTAATACGAGAACGTGAACTTGCTGTTCTTACATGTTGGCACTTCCCCCCCCGCCCCAGAGCTTCTATTTTTGATGTTTCAGCCTCCTCGATCACAGGGAAATGCATATAACAAACATTATTACTATTATGTTAATAGTATTAATGTTTGGTGATGAGGATTTTAGTGGGAAGGCAGCCCAGAGTAGGGGAACAAGAACCGAGGAGTCGGAGAGCCTGAATCTGTGCAATCGTGAAATGGATATTTAAGCTCGCTCAGTCTCAGTATTCTTCGGTGTAAAAGGCACAAATGATAATACCTACCACAAGTGGTTTCGAAAACAAAATAGAATAAATGCACATAAAATTGCCTTACCTATGGTAAAGTTCAATACAGGTGTTATTTATGATTGCTAAACATTTCCTTTACGAGCAGCAGGTCCTCAGGAGACACATTTTCAGTTGCCTGCGTAGCTATTAGATCGCCCCGTTTAATAGCTGTTCTCCCCAGTCGCCATCATTGTGTTCAGCCTCAAGACTCAGTCCAGTAGGTGGTTAGGTTTGAGCAGGGTTGGTATTATTCTATCTCCTTTTGACCGATGAGGATACTGAGATGGAAAAGTAGCCCCACGGTTTGCCCAGGAACACAGAGCACAGGCCAGAAATCCGGTCTTTTTGTAGAGCCAGAATCTTTTTGCTACCCCAGCCTGCCCTAACTCCTTGGTTTACAAAGGAAATAGAACAGATTTCTTCAAGCCTTTTCCTCAACAGCAGGCTTGCCTGAATTGCTCAGATAATTGTTGTGTTCTCCATCTGGTTTTTCCATTGAAGACACCGCCTGAGGCATGCTTGTTTTGCGGACAGGGGTTTTCCTATTTCCCCCTCTAGACTGCCAGCCCTTTAGGGGAGGCTGCTCAGTCTTTGTCTTCTCACAGCGCCCGGTGTCTGGGCAGGCTCGGCTGCCAGCAGGGCACATAGCACCTCTGATGGTTCACTGTGAACTCCTTCACAGCGCTACAGGGACGGGATCTAAGTGGGTCTCCTGAAGCTGGTTTCAGATCCAAATGCAGCAGATATTCAGTGAGCATCTTCTCTGTGCCAGCCCCAGGCTTTCACACATAGCACATTTAACCCTAGTCTTGATTTCCGATTTCGCTGTTACCTTCAGAACCCAGTCTCTCTCTGCGCTGGCTACTCCCACCACAATTTAGAGGAGCAACGACGTACAGAGACACTGTGCAAAGTCACTACGCCTGGGGATGGAGAGAAGCGGATATGGACGTGGCTTTGACACGACTTGTAGGACTTGCGATGACTTGCTAACAGGTTAATTGGTTAGATGTGAGGGTGAGGGAAAACCATAACCAAGGGTTAGAACTGGAAAGACCCTTAACAATCACCTAAAACAATCAGTTGATTCCATAAATGGAGCAATTCTAGTGTGAGAAGCAAAGTGCTTTGCCCTGGGTTTCAGAGCCAGGTATCGAAGGTGTGGGACAGGAAGCCAAGGTGTCATAGCTCGCAGCCATAAGGCACCTGTTGATAGTTATTTGACTGATAAATGACACTCACAATCCATTTTGCTAAAAATGGCTAGAAAACTAGAGAGATTTACATCAAGGCCTTAAGCAGCCGAGGCAACACAAAAATATTCATCTGAGCATTACTTGTAAAACAGAAGAACTGCAGCTGTCCAGCATTTGGGCATTGGTTAAGAAGATTATGACATATCCAAGTGATGGGATAGTCTGTGATACTGTCATTAAAGATAATGATTGTGACTGACTTTCGATGATGTAGGAAGATACACAAAACAGCAAGAGAGGGATGTAAAGTCATACAGGCAATATGACTTCAGCTTTGTAAAAATGATAGTATATGTAGAAAAGAGTACATGAGAATATGACGAAATGTTAGCAGTCTATTGTTAATACTTGCAGATGTGAGGTAAGCAAAATTATAGACAGGCTTTCATATATATTCCAGAGCTGCACTAATGTGGTAGCTACTAGCCTCACGTACCTACTGAACACTTGAAATGTGGCTGATTCAGGTTGAGACGAGCTACACCATCTTCTGAAGAATGAAGAAGTAAAAGACTGAAATATCTCATTAATAGTATTTTATACAGATTACATGTTGAAATGATACCATTTTGGTTATGTTGAGTTAAATAAAACATTATGTATTAAAATTATTTTCATCTAGTTTTTGGTTCCATTTTTAAATGAGGCAACTAGAAAATTAAAAATTACACACGTAACAACATTTGTGGTTCACATTCTACTTCTGTTAGATGGCTTGCAAAAAAAGTGCATTGCGGCGTCAGCCAGGGGCAGGGCCAGCAGGGGTGGGGTAGGCTGGGGAGAGGTGTGGCAGAGGCCCCAGCTCTCCACTCCCTGGGGCAGGGTGGGCAGAGCACAGGGCAGAAGGGAAACCGAGAAACTGCAGTAACCTCGTCGCTTTTAAACAAGCATGTGAGGACGGAAGACAGGGTCAGGCAGAGGCAAGCTTGCCCAGAATCGTTCTGTCCCAAGGTTCTGGGTCCTGCTTAGGCTGTAAGCTTGGGGATGGAATGGTAGTCACAGGCTTCTGTGTGGGGAGCTGTGGGGGAGAGGGTCCCAGTATTGAGCCCTTTTCGCCTTGGGTGTTCCAGGCAGATGGAGGCTGCCTGCTCACCCCTGCTGCTTCTGCCTCCTTCGTGTGACAGGCAGGATGGATGGGTGGTGGAGCATGTAGATGTGGGCAGATGTGCTCCGGCCCTACGTTCTGGGACTAGATCCATGTGCAAATAAAGTAGCAAGGAGTTTGGTCTTATCAACCTTCTGTTATGGGCACTGGGGTGGGTATAGGACTGAGAGACTGATTTATACATCAAATAACATTCGTTGAAGAATCATAGAATTTCAGAGCTTCAAGAGCCCACAGATGTTTTGCAGACCCATCTCGAGGTTTTCTTTTCTTCTTCTCCTTCTTTGCTTGTGAGGAGAAGGCCCCAAGGCCCCCAGAC